AGTGTCTGTTGGATAAGTGTTCTGGGACATTTTCTTGTATATTCCTTGGGGTTTTTCTACACTAAAATCATATGATGTTTAACAGAGAGATTTGTTTTTTAATCTGTTTGCCTTTTCTTGCCATGATATACTTAGTGGATCTTCTAGTCTGATACTAAAAATGAATGATGAGAATATTTTGCTTCATTCCCTGTCTTGGAGCAAGAGAATTCTTCATACACTGTCAGTTCATAGGCTTTTGTGATTTTTGCTTGATTAAGGAATTTCTTTTATTTTCCTAAATTTCATGAGTTCTCTTTTTCCTTTATAAATGGATTTTACATTCTGTGAAATGCTATGAGATCCTATTTTTTTATTAAAAAGAAAAAAAAAAACTTTTGATATGGTTTCAGTGGTTGAGCCTGTCTTGAGTTCATAAAATAAGCCATACTTGACTGTCACCTTATCCCATTTGTATATTGCTGTAACTGTACATTAATTTTTAAAATAGTAATTAAGTGGATATTATTATTAGTTATAACTATATGGATCCTGAAACCCATTGGAAAAATGTATTTCCGGTGTATTTTGATGACCTGGATGGTTGTAGTGGTGTGTCCATATAACCCAGTATTTAGGCTAGAGAGAGAGCACTGTTAGACAGAGGCAAAATGATCAGGAATTCAAGACAAGGCTCTGCTACATAGAGATGAACCCCTGTAACAAATGCATAACAAATACATTGCCCAAGCAGTGTTGTAGTGTGGGAGATTAGAACATAGACTAAAGTTTGCCCTCAGGGTCTAGACTGATGGCATGGTGGTTAAAAGCATCCCTGTTCTTCCAGAGGACCAAGGTTCAAGTCCCAGCACCCACATGGCAGTTGGCAAGGGATCCAATACTTTTTTCTAGCTTTCACAGGCACTACACACACAAGGTACACAGCTATTCATGCAGGCAAAACACCCATATACATAACACTAAATAACAAAATTTGAAAAACCAAAAACATGCCTTTAAGCTGTATTCCTTCCCAGAATACAAAATAATGTCTGATAGTGCTATGTGAAGAACAAGAAAGCTGTCTCAGAGAGAAGGACCAAAGCTGTTTTCAATATATTGTCAGGAGAAAGCTTTAAAGTATTGTCACTTGTTGATTTTCAAGTCTGACATGAAGCCCAGTGTTCCTAGTGTGTATTAATCCATGCAGAAAATTGAAGATGGTGAAATAGGCAGAGGCCTGATAATGTAGGCCATGAAAATGATAACTTCAGATTTTATTCTAAATGCAGGACCAACTGCTCATTTTATCAGCAAGTATTTATAGAGTGCCTGGTTACATTGTTTTTTCATGTAATAACAAAGTATCAGTCTAGCATTAAACTCTAGAGCTTGAAAGAGCTAGTGAGATACACACACACACACACACACACACACACAGGCAAAATTGGTATTTTAGAATATTTTTAATTGGGAAGTATGGAAAACAATTACATATATGTGTACAAAATTTAAATAATTGAATCTGCTTATATATCATATACTAAAACCATAATGAATACAAGTCACCCTTTTTAATTTAAGAGATATAAATATTTTTATGAGTTTCTTTGGGCTATGTATTATTTCTGCTTGGGTATTTTTTTCCAAATAAGATACATTTGGAAATAGTGCACAGGAGAAACTCATGGAAATTTTAAGTAGGGGTTGCAATATATATGGGCTTTCCTTTCCAGAGACTATAATCTAAAAGTCTTCAAGGCAAATGTCATTATCTACAAGATGTAATTATATCAAATAATAAAAATGTAGCTAGCTATCTGTTCATGTGTAACAAACAATTTAGTTATTTAAGACATTCTTCTCTGGCTTCTTTGTCTCAGCTCTCTGCAGGTCTCTCATCAGCTCTAAGCAGGTGTTAGCAGGTGCTGCCATCATCTCAAGGGGACTGGGAAGAGTCTACTCCCAGATCATTCACAACTGCCTGTGGGAGGTGTCATTTTTTTGCCTTTGTCCTTCTGGCTCACAGACTAGCAGTTAGCTTCTTTACTAAGGGGAAAGGCAGTAAGGTGGAGGAACCAGTCTCTTCATCAACTTAATCTCAGCTTTCTTAGTCTGTTATTTCTGCTGGGTTCAGTGACCTAAAGTGAGCTACTCAGTCTAGTTCATATTAAAGAGGAGAAATTATCCAGAAATGTATGCCAGTTGGTGTTATTAGGGTCATTTCTGAGCTGTCTAGTATAACAGAGATCTCAAAAGTTTCTAATTTATTCTTGTTTTCTACCATAAGTGGTCCTTAGTCACTTTAATCTTTGCATTTATGTTCCTTCTATTTATTAATGTTTTTACTCTACTTATTTGTAGCCTTCCCTTATCTTTTCCCAGGACCCAAGATGAACTATTGTCTCATGGTATTTTACTTTATTGTCCCTGCTGCTAGCCTCTTGGGTTATATCCACAGTACCTTGTCTAAAAGATGGAGAGAACTGTGAGTGGTGTAAGAGCTAGAAATACTATAACGAGACTTTCTAGGTTATAAGGCATAGGTCAGTCAGTTGACCAGATTATTTAAATTCTGGGAAACTTTTCCCCCAAATTTTTAAAAAAAGTTTTTTTTCTTTGAGACAAAGTTTCTCTGTGTAGCCTTGTCTGTCCTGGAACTAGCTCTGTAGACCAGGCTGGCCTGGAACTCAAAGAGATCTGCCTGCCTTCTGAGTGCTGGGATTAAAGGCTTGAGCCACCACCTCCCAGCCAAAATTTTCTTATTTATATATGTGTGTTGTCATGTCACATGTGTGTGTGTACCCTGAGAACCAGAAGAAGGGCTTCGGGTCCTCTGGAGTTGGAGTTATGACTAGTGAGTTGTTCAGTGTGGGTGCTGGGAACAGAAAGTGGGTCCGCAGGAAGAGCAGGTGCTCTTAACACCACTTCAGGGATGTTCTGTAATTTTTTTTTTTCTATTTCCATTAAAATCAGGGTGAATTGCAAACAAAATCTTGTTATTTTCATTTTTCCTTTAAAATTTAGGATGAGTGCGAGTCTAGAGATCATTGCTTAGTTATATAAAAGTGTATTAATTTTGGGATAATTCAAATTTAAAGGCAGACTGTAAGCACATTTTACATGAGACATTATAAAGTGTGTGTGTGTGTGTGTATACAAACATCTATTTTTTATCTAGTTAGCTAATAACATTATTTTGTATTTGTTATTTTTTTTCCAAAGTCATAAAATTTATAATGAAAATGAAAACTCTTAAAAGTATCACTCTTAGTTCTCTTTAATGGGACTTGATACAGTTACTGGTACAGGTGTGACGGCTATTTTCTAGTTCACTTTTCGTTAAGTATAAACTTGAGCGTCCATATTATGCTTTCATGTTTGTGTTGTTATATAGTATGAAACAGTGTGTGTGTGTGTGTGTGTGCCTACACTGTTCTTTTTTCCTTTTACTATTAAAGCCTTTCCATACAGATACTATTCTAACTTCAGTATATTATTCCACTGTGTTAGGTTTTTTTCTGTTTTTAAAAATCTTATACCTAAGTTGTTTTGAATTAATGTTTTGGTGTTATAACCATTGCTCATATGCTCATATGACAGCATATTTTCTACTTTATGTGCAAGTTGTGGCCTCAGTAGATGTGAGAAATTTTGTTTCCTTCCTCATCATAAGTGGGGTTTCAGACTTGAGTCATGATGTGAGTTTGGTGTTTGAAAACTTAGACTTTGATTTTCTGATGTGCATTTCTTACTGCTGTGATCAAGGAGTTATTAATGGCCATTTAGACATATCACCTAAGTGCCTTATTACTGTGTCTTTTACTTATCCAAAGGAGTTCTTTATGTATCCTAGCTATTAATAATTCTTTTATATGTTGTAAGTACTTGGCTATTTGTTCTTAACTCTTCATTGATATTTTTTCACATAATTTTTTTACACATTTTCTTCTTGATCATTTGTGCTAGTTTTGTGGAAATTAATAAAAGTGAAATAAGTACAGTTATAGGTAGCATCTGGGTGCACAAAATATTAGAGTGTATCAAGTATGTTGAAAAAATTATGGAATGTAATAGTTCCAGTGTATTAAGTGTCATTAAAAACTTAAATAGTTAATGTAAAGCTTTTAACTAAGTGGACTGTTGCTAAGTTTAGTGGTACTGCATTGCCTGAACATAGGGCTTCATTCTGTTCTTTTGAAATTTGTTTTACCTTTGGCATTAATCTTTATTGGTCATCTGGCATGGTTTTCACTATTTTGTAGGTAGAAGGAATATATTCTACAATTAATAACTAATAAATGTACATCTGTGAGAACAGAAAAACACTGCAGATACATTTTCAGGAAAAATACTTGTCTTAGATCAGGTGATTTCTTATTGACACATTGAACAATGAACTCATACATTTTGTGTGCAATTAGGTCTACCTATTAACATTATTTAGCATATATTAATTCCAGTTATTACTGTTCAGTTAAAAAATAAATTCCAAATGGAATTTCATTTTAGAAAGTTACTATATTTCATAAAGAATATTTTTGCATTTGTGAGATTGAATCACATTTTCAAGTATGATTAAGAGATTCAAAGTTGTAAGTTTTTCTATTGATTTTTCAGTAAACACTGTCAATATGATTGTGAGATGTCCTTGCCCCCACATGTGTTTGTCATTAAACCCTTGCTGTGACGGTGTGTAAGTGTATTGGGGGAGGGGACTGCTATAGATGGGACCAGGGTCGCACATATGCTGTACAAGTGATATACCAGTGAGCTATATCCCCAGTGTAATACGTGCAACTTTAGTTGGAATCTGGAATATTAGGCTCAAAATCAGAGAGAAGAATAACAGCTTATTCATTATTGAGATAATGTGGGAAGCTGAGAGATAAAGGAAGTCTTTGGTGCCATGCTCATTTTAATCGGCAACATCAAAAAAATAAAAGTTGCTCTTGGCAAAAGTATAAGCATCAGGGTTTTTTTCTGAGATGTTTGATCATGTATTTTTTATGTAATTTTAGGCTTCCAGTAATTATCTCCAGGATTCGCCATGACCCCAGCTCTGAAGGAGGCAACAACAAAGGGTATCTGCTTTTCATCTTTGCCAAGTGCCATGGAATCTGACAAGATGCTATGTGTGGAAAGCCCAAGAACTGTAGATGAAAAGCTTACAAAAGGAGACACTTTGTCTCAGATGCTGGGATTTCCGACTCCTGAACCTACTCTAAATACAAATTTTGTGAATTTAAAACATTTTGCCTCCCCTCAGGCTTCAAAACATTTTCAGACAGTTCTTTTAATGAGTTCTAATTCAACACTAAACAAATATAATGAGAATTATAACCAAAAGAAAGGAATGGAATCCAACTGCTGTAAGCTGAAAAATGTACTGTGTAATGGCAGCAGCATTCAGCTCAGCAAGATCTGCCATTCTCATTCTGAGAAGGAGTTCATCAAAAAGGAGCTCTCGGGTACCACAAGCCAGTGCATGAAAGACATCCAGATTGTCCTGGACTCAAATCTCACCAAAGACACCAATGTAGACAAAATACATTTGCAAAACTGTAAATGGTACCAAAAGAATGCACTTTTGGACAAATTCACTGATACTAAGATTAAAAAGGGGTTATTGCAATGCACTCAAAGGAAAATTGGACCTAGTCACTCAGATATGCCTATTAGTTCCTCAGCTGCTGAAAAAGAGGAGGGAGTGAATGCTCGTTTGCTTCATTGTGTGAGTAAACAGAAAATTTTACTCAGCCAGGCTAGACGAACTCAAAAACACTTGCAGATGCTCCTGGCAAAGCATGTTGTTCAGCACTATGGTCAACAGATGAAATTTTCTATGAAGCACCAGTTGCCCACAATGAAGCTCTTTCATGAACCCACCACCGTTTTGGGTAATAGTTTACTTGAACACACTGAAATTAAGCCAGAAGTCAACATACTGGCTTCTGAGAATAAGTTTTGGGATGATACAAACAATGGCTTTGCTCAGTGTACAGCTGCAGAAATCCAAAGATTTGCCCTGTCTGCTACAGGGCTGTTGTCTCATGTTGAAGAGGGTCTGGATTCTGATGCCACTGACAGCAGCTCAGATGACGAGTTGGATGAATATACCATTAGAAAAAATGTGGCAGTGTAAGTGTTAAATTATTAGATTATTTTTCTATTCTGTATACAGTAGCAGTTATCTTGCTTTCAAAATTTTCTAAAATCTTAATGTAATGCATGATCTTTAAGGTATAAACCTGGTGAATTTTGAAAAAAGTTTTCTTTTTTCCTATACAGTAAATGTTGATCATATTCTTTTCCTTCCCGCATTTCCTCCCAGATCCTTCCCCCCTCCTTATCACCCAACTTCATGTTCTTTCTCTTTCTCAAAAAATAAAACAGAAAAAACTAGAAAAAGAAAAATGCTGAAAAGAGAAAATATGCCAAATGTTATCAAAACAAAACAAAAAGCATATGCACACACACAGAAAATCAATACCCGGGAGTTCATTTTGTGTTGGCCAAGTATTTCTGGGAAAGGGACCTTTCCTGGGAGTGTGGTTCATAGACCCAGTAACACTGCAGTGGAGAAAACTGATGTACCATTTCCCAGCAGGTATCAATTGTAAATAGCTTCTTGGTTAGGGATGAAACTTTGTGTCTACTTTGCCTTCTCAGTGCTGACACTTTGGCTTTCAATCTGTGTAGTCAATGTAAGCTGATGGTCTCTGTGGGTTTATATGTGTGTCATTACTGCTGTGTCTGGAAGAGGCTGTGTCTTTATAGTCATCCACCACCTCTGACTCTTACAATCTTCCTGCCTCCTATTCCACATAGGAGCCCTGAAGAGAAGGGGTTCGATAAAGACATCCTATTTAGGGCTGAGTGCTACTCTCTCATTCTTTGTACATTGTTCAGTTGCAGATCTGTTTGGTAATTAACTGTCTATTGCAGGAAGATGCCCCCCCTAAGGACTGCTGAGTGATGCTGACCACTGTGGGCCATCAGGACTCACTTTATTGTTGTAGTCCTTTAACAGAACAGTAGTGAGTTTTTTCCTAGGCCTATCACCTGTCTAGTCTCAGGTTCTTGACCACTTAAGCAGTGTCACATAAATCCAATAAAAGAGTTGGTTACTCACAGAACATTTATGTCACTATTGTACCAGTGTCTCTTGCAAGTTTGTTGTATGTAGCAAGGTTTGTAGCCAGGTGAAGTTGTTGATTACTTTTCTCCTCCAGTAGCATGCAAAAGTACCTTCCAGCACCATGCACATTAGTAATAGGGGTGAAACTTCTATGTACACACCAGTTTGATTAGTTCATGTTTGAGGATGTGAGTAATTTGTGTCTTCAGCAGTTATGCCTTACCATCAGATTATGAAGAGGAACCAATAGCCTTGGCAATAGCCTTCAATGTTTTACTGGGGAGGGGAAGTCTATAGGACTCCTTTGACTAATGACTTAAAAGATGTAACCCATTCTTAACTCTGGAATTTACTTGGTGGTAGTCTAGTTGGGGCATTTTCTCCCATTATGTGTTGACTCCATTTAAATTCCTTTCATAAATGTATATTAGGAAGCTTCTGCAGTAGTTGATTCCCATATGGCTTTTCAAAAGGCCTTTAGTATTGATTGTCTTTCCATATTCCCTCCTTTACCCTGCCTTTCTTCCTTCCTCTTAATTTAACCTTCCTATGCTGGTTTCTCCTTTATCCCTCTGTAGCATCATACTGTTTCTCCTTACTTGGAGCATCTCCTCCTCTCCCCTGGTCCCTCACTAGCTACTTAACCTCTGTGGTTATTCATATGGAAACACACATATATAAAAGCTAGCATCCAGATATAAGAGAAAACATTCAATGTGTGTCTTTTGGGCCTGGGTTACCTCAGTCAGGATGGTTGTTTTTAGCTGCATCTATTTGTCTGAAAATTTCATGACTTTTATTTTTCTTAATAATTGAATAAGAATTGATTGTGTAAATAGCACATTTACATTATCCTTTCGTCACCCGATGGACATCTAGGCTATTTCCAATTTCTGGCTATTATGAATAGAAAAACAATGAGCATGCATGAGCAAGTTCCCAAGAGTGGTATGCCTAGATCTTGTGGTAGATCTATTCTCAGCTTTCCGAGGAACCACCACACTGATTTCCATAGTGGCTGTATCAATTTGCACTCCATCAGCAATGAATAAATGTTCCCCCCTTCCCTACTTCTTTGCCAACATGTGCTGTCATTCGTTATATTGATCTTGGCCATTGTGACTGGGGAAAGATGGAATCTCAAAGTAGTTTTAATTTGCATTCCCCTGATGGCTAAGGATGTTGAACATTTTGAAAAGATTAAGGATGTTATTTTTGTATCCTTTTGTGAACTCTGTTTAGTTCTATATCCCAGTTTTTAATTTTCCTGATGTTCGGTTTTTCTGTTCTTTCGATAGTATTGAAATTGATCTTTTAGCAGATGTACAATTGGTTAAAGATTTATCCTCCATTCTGCTGAATGCCACTATGCTTGAATGGTGGTGTCCTTTGCTATGTCCAGAAGCTGTTTAGCTTCACGAGGTCCTACTTATTGTTGTTCTTAATGCCTTTGCTATCAGTGTCCTGGTCAGAAAATCCTTTCCTGTTCAATCCCATCCCCACTTCCTCTTCTGTCAGTTTCTCTTCCATCAGATTCAGGGTATCTGGTCTTTTGTTCAGGTATTTGATTCCTTAGAGTTGAGTTTCATGCAGGATGATAGATATGGATCTGTTTACATTTAAAGGCAGCCATCCACTTTGACCAGTACCATTTGTTGAAGATGTCTCTTGTTCGGTGTATATTTTTGGTTTCTTTGTTAAAAAAAAAAATCAGGAGTTTGTACATATGTTGAGTTATATCTGGCTTGTCAATTCTATTAAGTATTCTGTTGATCAGCGTACGTGTGTGTGTGTGTGTGTGTGTGTGTGTGTGTGTGTTCTGAGACAGAATTTCAGAATTTCACTATGTAGCTGTGGCTCACTCTGTAGACCAGGCTGGCTTCCAATTCACAGAGATCTGCTTACCTCTGCCTCCTGAGTGCTGGGATTAAAGGTATGCACTTACCACCACCTCAACATGTCTGTTTTATGCCAGTCCCATGCTGTTTTCATTAAAGTAATAGGACTTGAAATCTGAGATAATGATACCTTAAGATGTTTTATTTCTTACACTATAAGTGAGTCAGATATGCTAAGTGTCAGTCTTAGGATCTTCTGAAAATACTCAAATGCACAGGCCTTTTTAACTCTGTTATATACCATGATGTAGTATGTGCATATGACATTTTCCTGTATACTTTAGACCATCTTTGGGTTAATTATAATACTTTAAACAATGTAAATACTGTGAAAATAATTGTTATATTAAATGTGTAGGGGATTACAACAAGGTTAAAAAAAAAAAACTATATGTTCCTGTGGAAGCAGTTTCAGTATGATAGGAATTTTCTGTATGTTTCCTATAGCTATTGAGTTCTCAATTGTTATCATTTGTGATTGCTTGAATCTGCAGATGTTACAGTATCTATGGATATGGAGTACTAAACATATTTAAAAGTAAGTTACTTTCTGGGAAAAACACATAGGGATAATAATGTTAAAAGCTTGAACCTTTAACATATTCCAGGGATACCCACATTAGCTTTGTGAATTAAATAGTTGTGAGTAAATGTAAAGTGTTATGTTACTTTATAGAGGGAAGAATTGAGATTGGTCTCAGGTAGCCCAGGCCTTCTTTGAACTCATTATGTAGCCAGGGATGGCCTAGAACTCTTTATATTCTTGCCTGTGCTTCCTAACTGCTAGATTACTTGCATGTCTTTTATCTGCCAGGGATTTGTTTGTTTTTGTTTCTAACAAGAGAGAATATGATCGTATTTCAATTCATAATCTCTTTTCAACCTGGCATTACAACAAAATAAATAGAAAACAGATTATTTCATCTGTAATACATGATGACCTGCTAAGAACTAAGTTTTCAGTTTAATTTGACTTAAATTTAATGCAAATAGTCACATGAAGCACAATTTCAAATTTCTTGAGACCTGTTAATGTTCTTAAATTGATACCCGTTCCTGAATATAAGTGTGATATTTTGGGCAGAAGGAATCTGTCTTGTTTTAAAATTCTCCAAAATGGATAATCATTATAGAATTAGGAATAGTATTGCTTTTACTAATTGATATAGAATTAATATTTTTTTATAATGGGTAAAATGTGATAAAGTGATCATTCCTGTCTTTCGGTGTTCTGATGCCTCTACAGCTGAAATTTGCTTGGATATGGGAACTAGGGTATTTATTAAGCACACATTATTTTTCAGGCTGCCATTTTGCTAGTTAATTATATGTGATACTCTCATTTAGTTCAGTCAACCATGGAATGTAGTTGTTACTACCCTTATTTCACTTAAAAAATGAACAATTGCTCTGACATATGGCCATGCTCAGATCTGTGGCTACTTTCTAGATGTCAATGCTTCAGACATCACTGACACCATTACTGAAGACATATGTGCAAGCCAGATTCAGTTCCAAAAGCAGCTCAACCATGACATCTCAGGTGGAAAAGAAGTCAAAAGACCCCATCAGTCTTCCTACTAAATAGTATAATAGCCCTTGCTACCTCTGTGGACACCCAACCTAAGGTACAGTAGTCTGCTACTCTGGCCTCAGGTAACAGACCTAAATGTCTTGGCTCTGCCCTTACTGAATCAGAGCTACTGCACTTTACCTTGTGATGTATATAAATACACACAATTCAATATACATAAGTACAATTAATAGATGTCTCCAAATTATATTTGATATTTTATTAAAGGTATATCTTTAAACTGTCGTTGTCTTAGCATTGAGGAAGTGCAGTAGTTGATTTTGAGCTTGTAAAATTTTTTAAAGATTGTTTATGATATTAACATTTTATTGCTTTTAAAAACTATGTACTTCTCTTACATTTGAAAGTGTGAATTTTATGCATATCTGTTGTAGAGTAGAATGCTGTGACTATGTAAAGTTTAATTTGGATTATTTCCAAACCCCTTCAACCATATTGTTTTTAAACATTCATGGTCAAGCATCTAAAGAGAAAGGGAAGCCTTAGTAGCATATAAATATCTAAACAA